CGCCTCCTCCTCTTGCTTCTGTCTCTCATGGTCGATGGTCGCTGTAGCTATCAGAGGCCAACTCCGCACTCTTTTCCGCCGACTTCCCAGCCAAGCTTGCCCCACCCCCACGTCACCAGGTCTACTGGGGATCTGTCCACATCTCACGATACCTGTCGCGGCAGACCTGCAGCTCATCCGTGTTTTGGTGCCGGGGGTTGAACCCAGGGCCTCCTGGAAGCACGCCCTGTTCCCCTGAGCCACACCCCGGCCCTCTCCCTGCTTCTTGAATCTCTTGGTTGGGCTTCTGGACATGGCTCTCCCCTGACTCCCCGCCCCCCAACTCCCCTGGTCACTCCTGCTCAGTGACCTCACCACTCCCTCTTCTCAGCCAGACACTGATTCAATTTATTTGGTTCTAGCGACTGAACCGAGGGACACTTGGCCACTTAGCTACATCCCGGCCCTTTTTAGTTTTTATTTAAGACAGGATCTCGCTAAGTTGCTGAGGCTGGCCTTGAACGTGCAACCCTCCAGCCTCAGCCTTGAATGTACAATCCTCCAGCCTCAGCCTCTGAGTTGCTGGGATTACAAACATGTGCCACTGGGCCTGGCCTGCCAGATATTTTTAGACCTGGGTCTCGCTAGGCTGGCCCAGGACTCCTGCGCTCACAAGATCCCCCTGCCGCCACCGTCTGAATAGCTGGGACCATGGGCATGTGCCACAGCACCCAGCCTCTCTGCCAGACTTCTAATGTGGGAGGCTCTGAACCCCACCTGCTTCCTCTGGTCCAGCTTGAGCAGGGAACCAGCCTAGGTCACACTCGCTCTGTGGTCAAAGCCACCAGGAGCCCACTCAGATTCAAGGGGAGGAACATCTTTGCCTCACGACAGGAAAAGGAGCAGAGGTTTTGCTAGAAATCAGCAGCTTCCAGGATATCTGCCCCCACATCCCGTCCTGCGGCAAGTCTTGACAATCCGGCTCTCCCAAGATGCCTCAGAGGCCGCCTCTGACTGCCATGCCACCAGCCTCCATCAAATGAGCACGGCTAGTCCAGAGCACCCGGAGCCTCCCGATGGCTTCTCTCATCGACTTGTCCCCTATAATACTCTGTTCTCTCCACAGCAGCCAGAGAGGGTTTTTGTACATGCAAATCAGAATGATCTCATTTCACATGTAGATATCTTCAGTGGCAAGCCGGGGGCGGTGACACACGCCTGTAATCCCCAGCAGGTCCGGAGGCTGAAGCAGGAGGATCTCAAGCTCAAGGATAGCCTCTGAAACTTAGCGAGGCCCTGAACAACTTAGCAAGGTCCTGCCTCAAAATTAAAAAGGGCTGGGGATATGATTTAGGGGTAGCACCCCTGGGTTCAATCACCGGTATAAAAAAACAAAAAAACAAAAAGACTCTTAGTGGTAAAAGACAATCCCAGCTCCTTTCCACAGCTGGAGTGGGTCTCACGGCTTTGCTCCTGTGACTGTCCTGGGCGCTAGGAATGGCTGCGTTCTTCTCATCCTTGGGTTGCCAGCGCAGCCCTCTACTTTCTGAGACCACGCGGCCCACCGCAGCCATCCCGGCCCTCATGCTGGCGGGACGTCCCACACTTCGTGTTGGGCTGCGCCCCTTCGGGTCTGTGTTCCCGTTAGATGGCAGACTGCACCACAGCAGCACGAGGCCTGTCTGGTCAACCTGGGCATGTGGCACCCAGCGCAAGTATTTGTTGAATGAATGAAAACCTGAAGCTGCGCTGGAGGGCGTGGCACCCCCCTCCGTGGCCCCGAATCTTATCTCCCACAAGCCCCCGCACCTGCCACCCAGCCTCCACTCGGCCTCCCAGCCTCCACTCAGCCTCCATGGGTGTTTCTCACCGCAGAGTCCAGAGGCCCCAGGGGGCCCGTGCATCAGGACCGGCCCCAGCCTGCTGCCCTCCAGCCTGGCCAGGATCTGACTCAGGCCAGATCACAGCTCTGGACGGGGGGCTGCCTGTGGAAGCTCGAGCCTTAGCTGAGGTGCTGGGACCCCACATGTCGGGGACCGAGGTGCAGAATGGCTGCCCTGACCAGGCCTCTGCTCTGCTGTGAGTCCTTAGGTGTGTAACTGCCCCTCGGTGGCTTCACTCTCCCTGTAGAATGAGGGGAGTGTGGGAGGGTCTCCAGGCAGCAGTGGGGAGGCCAAGACCAGACAGGGCCAGTGCTGCCCAGTGTCCCCTGTGAGGGAGGACAGAGTCCCCACGGAGAGCCAGGTCACCTGCCTCCAGGGAAGGCCTCCAGGGGAAGACTCCCTTGTGTCTCTCACTTGCTGCTCTGTCCCAGGCCCTGGGACCGAGCCCCTCTCTGGGCAAGAATAAGACACCATGAGTCACTGGGAGGGAGGGAAGGAAAGCGCGTGTCCAGCCCCCGGCCCTGCCCTCTTCCTCTGCTCCTTGGCCACAAAACCCAGTGAGTCACTAGATTCCACTGGGGTGGGCTCAGCGCCAAGCCCCGAGATGATGGGGGCTGCTCCTGGCTCTGCCCTCTTCCCCTGCGGGGTGTTCCTGCCGCCTATGCACAGACAGACAGACAACAAGGACAGACAGACAGCTAGAAGCCCAGGCAGACACAAGCAGACACTGGCACTGATACATGAACACCTCCAGGACAGGTGGACTGGACAGATCAGCCGCAGAGCCACACGCTCAGGCACCCAAGCAGCAAGCCCACGCACACAGGCAAATGACAGACAGACAGACAGACAACTTCCAGAGGACACGAACACACATGCAGACAGACAAGTGAGCAGGTAGACAAGCAGACAGACAGACAAGAACTGGCAGACAGGCAAAATGTCCAGACAGGCAGGTACGCAGGCGTGCAACAGACAGGCGGGTAGACAGATGGACAGACAGACACAGATCAACCGCCACTCAAGCAGAAACTCCCACAGACACAAATGCTTGGGAATATGCCACATGGGCACACGTGCCACACACTCCTGGGGGCAGCACCCACAGTGATCTGGGGCAACAGACAGGCTGGGGCCCCCGAGCCAGTCCCAAGCCCAGAGCCATGGAGCCCGTCTGTGAAAGCAGGTGCCCGGGGGACTTCCAAAGGCAGCCTCTGTCGCCCACCCAGAGGACATGACCTCTGCCAATTCCAAGGGACCCACCCGCCTTACAGTGAGATGAATGGAGGTTAGATAGGAAGAATGACTTCCCAGCCAGGAGCAGACGTGCAGGGGTGACTAAGGTGACCGGGAAGAGCGGGAGGCTAGAAGGTAGGCGCCTCTGTTCTGGCTGCTCCAGCCAATCTGCCCTGAGCCTCGGTTGCTCAGTGTCTTCCCAAGTCCCTGCAGGGAGCAGGGGCCGCTCAGGGTATGCAGTGCCCGTGTGGGGCTGGACATTGCCCCCACCGCCAGGGCGGGACCCCTTGGTGACTCACCCCCACTGTCCCATAGCAGGGGGTGGCCCAGCCACAAGTGCCCCGTTGTCCTGGTCCCTCGGCCTCTGCCAGGAGCCGGCTGGCTGAGGATGCCCTGGCTGGGGGAGGGGCAGGCGGTGGGCAGAGGCGCAGGGAATTCCCAGGGCTTCTCCGGGTGGCAGAGAGCACCGGGCTGCGGCAGGGACCTGCCCAGGTGTAGTGGCCGCCTCCCCTGCTGGCAGAGCCCCCGCCTGGGCCCCACCCTCGGGGAGGGGGGATTGCGCAACGGGAGGTAAAAGGTGACAGCAGGCCTGGTGGGACAGAGGCCTCATTGTTTGGGGCCTCAGGCAGGAAGGGGGTGCTCGGCAGGGGGCCCCCAGCTGGCTGCTCTTGCCTTGGGCCCTCCCAGGGCAACAGGTGCCCAGTAGGATGTGGGTTTGACGGAGGGCACAGTGCTCAGGGCGGGCCCAGCAGAGGGAAGGACAGCACCAGCAGGCTGCAGGGTGTGGAGGGGCCAGTCCTGTCCCTGCCTCCTGGGGATGAGCGCCCGGGGTGTCTGCAGGTTCCTCAATCCTGCTCCGGAGGATTCCAATCATTCCTGTTGCCCAGGCAGCTTGGGGCCGCCCCCAGCCCAGGTCACCGTGACCAGGAGTGTGCAAGGCCAGAGGGGGAGCTGGGAGATTTTGTCCCTGGCACTCTTAAGTCTGAGCTCAGTTGGCCCCATCTCCCGCTCTCTAGGAAAGCTCCTCAACCCCACGGTAAGTCCTTCTTAGTGTCAGGCCGTAATCCTTTCTGCTTGATTTACAGTTCTACCTCCAAAAGGAATAACTTCCACTTGTCAAAATCTAAGGAGGATAACCTCAAGCTCCTTGTCCTTGGGCCTGTCCCCTCCCTGCGTGGCAAGCCCTGAGTTGTGGTCTGCTCCAGGTGCAAACGAGCTGGCTCCTCCTCCCACAGCCCGGCGGCCCGGGCGGGCACGGGGCGGTACAAAAGGCGGTCCCGCCCCGTGCTCCTCACTTGACTTTGTGTCCGGCAGCGCGGAGCCAGGAGGCGGAGGGCAGCCGGGGCCCAGCCCACACCCCTCACCAGGTAGGGAGCTCCTCTGCTCAGAGGGCAGAGGGTGCAGACCGAGAAGGAGCAGAGAGAGGGACGGGCAGGCGAGGGGGCCAGACGGTGCCAGAGAGAGGCACCGTGGAGAGGGACAGGGGACACCGCGGGGAGTGGGGAGGGGTTGGGAAGGCTCCGAGTCAGGACCCAGGTCAGAGACAGGGAGGGGCCGAGGAACCTGGTGCAGGACAGAGGACCTGGGGCGCAGGATGAGAGCCACGCAGGGTCCCAAGAATGCCACCACCCCGTTTCCTGGTCCTCGAAGGTCCCTGTGCAGGTCAGGCAGGAGCTCCCCTCCATGCCCAGGTCCCTCCCCAAAATAAGCCAAGTCACAAAGCTTGGTTCCCCTGCCCTGCGGGTCCTGCCTGGGGACTTAGCAGCCAGGGTCCCCACCTGCCGCAGCTCCTTGGTTTCAACTCCAGGAAGCGGGGGTGGGGGGTGACCCTTGGTGTGCCAGGGGCCTCTGATGCCACCGCCTCTGACCCTGCCCTCTGCCCTCTCTGGCCCAGGAGGCACCATGTGGCGCTGTCCCTCGGGGCTGCTGCTGTTGCTGCTGCTGGCTGGCCAGGGAGCCCTGGGCGCCCGGCGGGGTCGCTGGCGCCGGGAGCTGGCCCCGGGTCTGCACCTGCGGGGCATCCGGGACGCGGGCGGCCGGTACTGCCAGGAGCAGGACATGTGCTGCCGTGGCCGCGCTGACGACTGTGCCCTGCCCTACCTGGGCGCCACTTGTTACTGTGACCTCTTCTGCAACCGCACCGTCTCCGACTGCTGCCCTGACTTCTGGGACTTCTGCCTCGGCGTGCCGCCCCCCTTCCCTCCCATCCAAGGTGGGCACCAAGACGACCAAGAGGGCAGTCACCTTGTCAGCCCCAGGCTCAGCAAGCCGCAGGAGCAAGGCTGGTGCCAGGACATTTCTAGGGAAGGCTTTGCAGTGTCTGGGAAAGAGACCCTTCCCACAGGAGGGAAGTCCCTCTTGTGGTCTAACTTGACTCTCTCTAGTAAGACTGAAAGAGAAGCTGCCCCTGGAGAAGAGCAGACAGCCTCCAGTCCTTTCTCCCAGTCCTGTCCAACTGGGGAAGGTGCTGGCCCGCCCCGCTGACTCACCCTTGGGCCAATAGAGCACACAGGAGTTGTCACCTCAGCCACTCTCTGCCTTTGCTCAGGATTCCATACCTCTGAGATAGGTCATACCTGGGAGGTGGGTCAGATCTCTTTCTGCCTTCAGCCTTCAGCTTTCATCACATCCTTTTCCATGCACTGGCCCTGTGGAGAAGTTCTGGAATCCCCTCCCAGGGTGCGGTGCCGTGGGGGCTCTGAGCAAGGAGGCTGCACACTGGGGTTGCTATCCCAAAGTGCTGTGTTATCTGTAGGGCATTGCTTGCCTTCTCTGGGCCTCACCATCCCCACCCTAATTCTCTGCCCCAACTTATTTAAATGGCAAAGGATCCCAGGAATGTTGTGGCTGGCCTCCAAGTGAAGCAAGAGGGATTGGCGTTGGAGTCATTGAATAACTTCCCATGTAGAAGTTGGTGTGTGCCCCAGGAGATGTCTTTCCCCCCACCCTGGGGCACTGGGGTTTGAACCCAGGGGTGCTCTGCCACTGAGCTACACCCCCAGCCTTTTTTAATTTTTAATTTTGAGGCAGAGTCTCACAAAGTTGCCCAGGCTGGCCTTGAACTTGCCACCCTCCTGCCTCAGCCTCCTGAATTGCTGGGATTTCAGGCTGGGCCACGGCCACGGGCAGGGGACGTCTGAGTTAAAGTTTGGCTTTAGTTTCGGGGGGAGTTGGGGTCGGCATGTGTGGGAGAGGTGACCTGGGGGAGGGCGTCGAGGGCACCTGACCCTCTGGGGACGTGGCCACCTCAGCGTTCTCTGTTCCCAGTCCCCCTCTCTCTCCGTCCTCCAGGATGCGAGCACGGGGGGCGCATCTATCCGGTCTTTGGGACCTACTGGGACAACTGTAACCGCTGGTGAGTGAGTGGGGCTGGAGGGCTGGGCTCCTGTGCCTCGCGGCCAACAGACTTGGTTAAAACCCCAGCCCTGTCCCCAGGTCCTGGGGACAGATCCTCTCCCCCGTCTGAGCCTCAGCTGCTCATCTGTAACGTGGGCGTTTCAGCCCTGACGGCCCCTGCCAGCCCTCACCCTGGCATTCCACCACACTCCCAGGAGCAGTCGGCCATAGTGGCCGGGCCCAGGTGCCACCCCCAGTCCTTCCTGCCCTCCTGACTGGGGCTGGGCCACCGCCCCTCCCAACGTTCTTGCTGTCATGGGAGAGTCGGAGGAGGGGACGGGGACGCCAGGAAGGAAACCTCTGACTGCAGCATCCGCTGCCCTGGGCGGACGGGTCAGGGATGGCCGGCGGGCAGCCAGCCAGCTGCACGGGGCCTTCCCCGGAATGCGGCCCTCCGCTCCCCCTGCCCACCACCCGGGGCAGGAGGAGGAGGGGTCCCTGGCGGGAAGTGGGAAGGGTCCTGGGAAGCGAAGGCCACCCTGCAGAGGGGAGGCAGGCGGGCACTGGCTCCGCCCGCCCAGCCTCTGCCTGGGTCTAGGAGGCCCCAGGGAGAAGGAGACTTTTTGGAATGCGCTGCACAGAGCTGTTTCCATGGCCTCACGGGGTGAGGGGTGCCTGGGCCACAGGGGGAGCAGGACTCTGGGGTGTGCTCAGAAGCGGGAGGCAGGTCCTGGTGGGGTGGACACCGAGGGGTTAACACTCTCCCGGGTCCCAGGTCCCCTCTGGAATGTTGGGACCTGCTGCCATCAGCCCTGTCTAGACCTGCTCTGGCAGCCCTGGGGTGCAGGAGGCAGGACAGGAGAGCACTGACCGACCCCTGCCAGCCCCTCAGGACTGCTCAGGTGGCATGTTCCAGCACCTCACATGGGGCAGTGGGTGCCCTGCAGGCTGCCCGAACCTTGGGGGCTGCTGCCCGCTGCGCAGAGGGGACAGAGGACAAGGGCCGCCCTGCCCCCACGGACACCTCCAGCGCTCTGAGCGCCACCCACTCGGCTCTGGCCTGGAGATCCAGCCATACTGGGGCTTGGCTCCCCTGGAGGCTCCTTATAAGGTGACATTGGAGGCGGGTGCCTCGGGCTGGCTTGGAAGGAGCAGCGTCTCGTATCAGCAGAGTTAGGAGCTCGTACAGCATCACCGGTACCCAGCAGCCCGTCCCCACAGGCCTACTGCGCCACAGGCACCAAGCTGGGCCCACGAGGCGCAGCCAGAAAGGGACCCAACAGTCCTTGTCCCACAGGAGCTTCTAGGCTAATGGTGAAGGACATGGAAAAATCCCACAAATATATATAAAAACCCAAGCTGCTCCAGGTGTGAGGGGGAAAGAGGGTGACGGGGATCCTCGTGTAGGGTCAGGGGGAAGGAGGAAGGCGCTCTGCGGAAGGACATTTCTACTGACCCCAAGGAGTGGGTAGGAGACAGGACCAGCAGCCCTGGCCCAGGGAGGGGACGTGCTTGTGGGAAGGCTGGGAGCTAGGAGCAGCTCTAGGAGGTCAGCCACGTTCCACGGTTCTCGCCAGCTGGGCCGAGGAGTCCTGGGTGTCACAGTCCTGGGTGTCACAGGAAGCCTCCCGGAGACCCCACGGTCTGGCTCACTTTGCTCACAGGCCTCTGCTTCAGAGCCGGAGGGAGATGGTCGGGGGGGGACAGTGAGGCAGGGACTTGGCCAGGAAGCCCTTGTCCAGGCCCAGGTGAGCAGTGAGGAGGGCCTGGGGCAGGGTGGCAGAGCGGAGGGTCCCCTGGGTTCCTGAAGTGCCATCCCCAGAGCCTGCTCATGGGGGACTGCGAGGGACACGGCTGACCCTGCAGCATTTGGATCTGAGCAGCCAGGTGCTGTGTTCTGAGCTGAGGATCCTGGGAGGAGCAGCCAGGGGAAGGCCATTTGGCTATTTTAAATCCGAGATGCCTTTGCTCATCCCGAGGTGTCAGGAGGTCAACTGGATGTGAGTCTGAAGCCCAGGGGAAGGGGGGCTGGGGTTCCTGTGAGAACAATCGTGGTCCAGAACAATCCGCGCACCTAGGCGGGCCAGCCCTGGGCTAAGTACTTTACGATCTGTTACTTAATCCCTGGAAAGTGGACTATTATTATCCTGCTTTACAGACAGCACCCTGAGGGAGAGAGTTTAAATAACTCTCCTAAATTCACACAAGGAGGCGGCCAGGATTGGAACCCCAGAATCTGCTCACTCTTAGCCCCCTCACTGTACCGCCTCCGTCTCTCGGTCACTTGACAAGTATTTATTGGGTGCCCGCCATGCGCTGGGTTTAATTTTCCTAGTCTCTGAAGATGCCAACCAATACCTGCCCTCACGGGTCTTAGGAAATGGGTACAAACCATGTCAACAGTAGGGTGACAGGGTTGGTGACCTGCCAAGGTAAACAGTAAGACAGGGAAGAGGGACAGGAAGATGGAGGATACTGAATTGTAAGGTAGGGTGACCACGTTGGGCCCAATGGCACACACCTATAATCCCAGCGGCTGGGGAGGCTAAGGCAGGAGGATCGCCAGTTCAAAGCCAGCCTCAGCAAAAGCGAGGTTCTAAGCAACTCAGTGAGACCCTGATTCTAAATATAATTTGGAATAGGGCTGGGGATGTGGCTCAGTGGCTGAGTGCCCCTGAGTTCAAGCTGCAGTACCTCCCCCCGACAAAAAAAAAAGATAGATAAGGCGGCCAGAGGAGGCTTCCCTGAGAAGGAGACATTTGACTGAAGATTTGGGGAAAATGAGAGTGGGCCGTGGGGAGGTGGGAGGAAGGGCAGCTCAAAGGCCCTGGGGCTGTGTGAGCATTCAGCCTCGCTGGAGCCTTGGAGGGAGAGGGTCAGAGAAGGGACAAGGGGACAGATGGTGCAGGCCTTGTCGTCACCTGAGGACTTTGGCTCCTGTTCTGTAGTGTGAAGCCAGTGGAGGGTTTGGGCAGAGGCAGGGCATGACAGGTTTAGCAGGACGGCTCTGTGGCTGTGTTAAAAATACCCCGGGGGGTGGGGGGAGTGGGGTAACAGGGCAGGTTAAGGAACAGTGAGGCCGAGTGGTAATCCCGGGAAGGGGGGGGCTGCTGGACAGGGTGGTTTGGAATCCGGTGTGTGTTCAAGGTAGACGGAGGACTGGCCCATGGCTGGATCAGCAGGCGGGAGAGCGTCCAGGACTCGTCCCCGGAAGGGTGAGCTGGGCGCTGTGAGAAGTAAGGTCAGGATGTGGGCTGTGGAATGTTGGTCTGGGCCGCTGGCAGGTGCCCACCGGGTGTGCAGTGGCAGTGAGGCCCGTGACTCTGGAGATCAGGCAGCGAGCTGGGCAGTGGCCACAAACTTGAGGACTGCGAACTTGAAGTCGGCACCGAAGCCACCAGGCTGGGTGGGAGTGTCAAGGGTCCTCCCACGGTGGCCGGTACCGAACCCCAGGCCCACACTGACCCGGAGGCCACGTCCCCCCAGCTTCCCACTCACTCTCCTTCCCTCCTGTCCTTGTCAGCACCTGCCAGGAGAAGGGGCAGTGGGAGTGTGACCAGGAGCCGTGCCTGGTGGACCTGGACATGATCAACGCCATCAACCAGGGCAACTACGGGTGAGGAGCCTTCACGTCCCCCGGCAGGTACCTGTGCTCCGCCGAGATGCACACCGAGGCGGGCACACGGCACCCCTCCCCTCAACGTGGGGGGAGGCCTCTGAGTCCCTCCGTCCCTCTCCTTCAGGTGGCAGGCTGGGAACCACAGTGCCTTCTGGGGCATGACGCTGGATGAGGGCATTCGCTACCGCCTGGGCACCATCCGCCCATCTTCCTCTGTCATGAACATGAACGAGATCTATGTAAGTCCACCCTTGCCTGCAGTGCCAATCTGCAATCTGTGCCCTGCTCCTACAAGGACTCAGACCTGTCCCCTATTATCAGGCTGTGTTTCCCTAAGTAGATCACTGCCCTCTCTGGGCTTTTGTTGCTTGCTTATAACCAGATGTGCTGCACGAGAGGTGCTGAACTGTGTGGTCCCAGCTTGGTCCCTCCTGCCTCCTCAGCCTGGGAAAAATGTTGTTGGATCCAACAGAGCTGGGCCAGGGCCCCAGCGGCCAGGAGGTCACCTTGGTATTTTAGGAAAGGAAGGACTGACGCTCTTCCAGTTCTGGCCAGAGAGCAGCATTTCTTGGAACAAATGCAGACTCAGCAGAACCCCTAGGGAGGAGGGGGTTTCTCCCTCCCACCAGTGGAACCCTCTGGGGGAGGAAGAGATGGGAACCAGGCCCGGGCGGTCAGGGGGTGAGGTGGGGGAGCTTGGTGCAGCAGGACTGGGCTGGAGCACACACAGAGGGTCTGTCCATCAGCGGCAGGCAGGGGAGACACAGGGGCTGGCCCTTCCTGCAGAGAGACCTTGGCCCAAGGCTGGGGTGACCAGCCCCTACCCCTGCCTTACTTCTGCGGCCTCTGGTTATTTTCTGCCTGGTGCTGTTTGTCTTGGCCGCCTGCCTGGTCACGGGACGCCGCTGCTTCTTCCCTCCCCTGCCCTCTGGGGCTTGGAGGCCAAGGCCCTGCAGGAAGGAGGTGTGGTAGATCAGAAGGGGCAGAAGGAAAGGGCAGGGGTTGGCAATGGAAAGTGGGCGACCCGGGTGGGGGCCACGTCCCCGTTCCGGCCTCAGCGCCTCACCTGTAAAGCGGCAGGAGGCGCTAATGGCGCCTGGTTCTTCCACTCACCTTGGAGGTGGAGGCGGCTGGAGTCTCATGCCACAGGAGGCCCTGGCTCCAACTGCGGAAGGAAGGCCCCAGATTCTTGGTGGTCCTCCAACACCACAGTGCTCCTGAGGGACAGGCCACGCTGGGGCAGGCGGCAGACAGGGCCACCTTTGCCTTGCAGACGGTGCTAAGCCCAGGGGAGGTGCTGCCCACGGCCTTCGAGGCCTCGGAGAAGTGGCCCAATCTGATCCACGAGCCGCTGGACCAGGGCAACTGCGCAGGCTCCTGGGCCTTCTCCACGGCGGGTGAGTCTGAGGGCAGGGCAAGCCTTGGGGGAAGGCAAGCCAGGGCCTGGCCCTGACGGCCCCTCTGCTTCCCCCAGCTGTGGCATCCGACCGGGTCTCAATCCATTCTCTGGGACACATGACGCCAGTCTTGTCGCCCCAGAACCTGCTGTCCTGTGACACCCACCACCAGCAAGGCTGCCACGGTGGGCATCTTGACGGTGCCTGGTGGTTCCTCCGACGTCGAGGGTATGCAGCAAGGGGCTGGCGGGAGAGTGGGCAAGGCACCTGTGGGCAGGGCCTGGGCCATGCGCACCACATCACTGACCCTGTTCCCTTCTGCTGTCTCCCAGGGTTGTGTCTGACCACTGCTATCCGTTCTCGGGTCGTGAGCGGGATGAGGCTGGTCCTGCGCCCCCCTGCATGATGCACAGCCGGGCCATGGGTCGGGGTAAGCGCCAGGCCACTACCCGCTGCCCCAATAGCCATGTCCATGCCAATGACATCTACCAGGTCACTCCTGCCTACCGCCTGGGCTCCAATGTAAGTCTGCACACGGGTGAGGGGGCAGAGGCAGGAGAGCTGGGGGTGACCAGAGGCCAGAGCCTCACTCTTGATGGTGGCTCTCCTGCCCAATCTCCTCCCTCCAGGAGCAGGAGATCATGAAGGAACTGATGGAGAATGGCCCCGTCCAAGGTGAGTGTTCTCTGCCCCGGCTCCAGAAGCTGGTGTCTGCTCGAGGCTAGGGTACGGTGGCCCAGGAGGTCTCTACGGCACTGAGCAGCAAGTGCAGTGAGGCCAGGCGTGAGGCGTGTCCCCTCCTCACAGGCAGGCCCCGGATGGAGTCTTGCAGGGTGAGGTCCCGGTGTCTGGGCACATGGAACAGCAGCAGGTCCTACGCTGGAGGACTAAGTGGGGCCTCCCTTGATCTCTGCCCACAGCGCTCATGGAGGTTCACGAGGACTTCTTCCTGTACCAGGGTGGCATCTACAGCCACACGCCCGTGAGCCTGAGCAGACCCGAGCAGTATCGCCGACACGGGACCCACTCGGTCAAGATCACAGGGTGAGAGACTCGTGGGCAGAGGGAGACTGGGGGCAGCAGGGCTTGCACTGGGGACCTGCTTTGAGTCCTTGTGACCTCTACCAAGTCAGGACTGCTCCCCATGCTTCAAAAGGAGAAAAAGGAGGCTCAGGAAGAGGAGGCACGTGCTCTGAGTCACACGGAGAGCTCTAGAAACCATTCCTTCCTTAGACAGTGATAAAACAGCCCTGGGGACAAAACGACAGACAAGGTTTCAAGAGTTGCTCAGCTTCTCTCACCTCACTCAGCACCTGTCCCAGCTCTGGCAGGCACAGGAATCAGGGCAGGTCACTTCACCAGACCTCAGTTTCCCCTCTGATACCACAGGAGAGGGTGGGATCACCGGTTTCAGTACTCAATGAAAGGTCCACTAAAGGAGTGTGTTTGCAGGGGAGTCTGGGGCCTCTAAGGTGCCCACACCCTCCGGGTCTTTTCCTCCAGTCCCTGGTAGGTACCCCTCTTTGGCTGCCCGAGCAAGGGAGGAGAGGCAGATGGGTGAGGTCCCACCATGTGGGGCCCTGGAGGACCAGGTCCACGTTCTCTTCTTTTGTCCCCCCCTTCCCCTCTACCCTTGGTGTCTCCCCCACACTGAGCTTGGACACACAGACTCACAGATGGGGGGGCGGGGCTGAGGGGATGCAGAGAGGGACAGAGGGTGCCCAAGTCCTAAGAGTGTTGCTCAAAAAGCAAAAAGGGTTCCCGCCCCCGAGAGCGGATCAATCAGCCCTTGCCCCTCCCGCTCTGCAGGTGGGGAGAGGAGCGGCTGCCCGACGGAAGGACGCTCAAATACTGGGTGAGTCCCGCCGCCCCCGACTGCTGCCTCTCTCCTGCTCCCTCTTCGCCCTCTCCCCTCCCCTCCTCACCGCGCTTCTTATTCCCAGACCGCGGCCAACTCATGGGGCCCCTCCTGGGGTGAGAGGGGCCACTTTCGTATCGTGCGAGGCGCCAACGAATGTGACATCGAGAGCTTCGTGCTGGGCGTCTGGGGCCGCGTGGGCATGGAGGACATGGGTCATCACTGAAGTTGCAGGCACTAAGCCAGGCCCGGCCCTGGGGTCCCCATGGGGCGGCAGAAGAGCCCCCAGCTCGCCCTCCGGGGCGGCCCCTGGCGCAGGCGGGCGCCTGGTGCTAATCCCTGCGCGGAGCCTGATCTGCTGACGCAGCGCCCGGCCTGGGAGCGCGGGCAGGCGAGGCTGGCGAGCCCCCAGACCTCCCAGCGGGGATGAGGCAGGGCCTGGCGCGGCAGGAGGGGGCCTGAGACCCTGGCCCCTGGCACTCCAGCCCAGATCACGGAAGCCAGGACACCGCCAATCTCCAGCCCCACTACCCCACCCCACTCCTGTATTCTTGTTTTTCAGAGGTATTTATTTTTCTTTTCACTGTTTTAAAATAAAATCAAAGTATGGATGACTACAGTATCTCGACCCTCCAGGGTGGAATGCCTGGCCACCGCTGGGATGGGACTTAGCCCGAGGGCAGAAAGGACTGCCTGAGCCCTGGCTGGTTGGTCCGGGTGGGTGGAGTGGACATCTTAGTCTCTATTCAGTCCTAATCGTCAGTGCCCTGGGCAGTGACCCACTGGGAGGCCAGAGAGGGATGGCATGGCCTTTGGCCCCCTGGGAATATGGAGACCGTGAGAACCACCTTTCAGACGCTGACTCAGCCCTGCCTGTAGGGGCAGCCAGCCCACCAATCAGCAGAGCTGGCGCCAGGGCCCAGTGGGCAAGGGGGGCACAGCCCCACAGTGCTGGGACCTCTGTCTCTGCAGATCATCTTCTCCAAGCCACCGAGGCCGGGGGGCTGTCACCTTCCCTCCTCCTGGGTCAAGCTCAGCCTGCCCAGGTGCCCTCTTAGCCCCTCACCTCCCCAGGCTCCTAGTGCCAGCAAAATACACCCGACCTCTGCCTGACTCTCAGGATCTGCCAACCACTGTGTGGCACCAGTGTCTTCACCCTGTGCCCAGGCAGCTGCAGCGTCCCCACTGCTCCTCAGATGGTTAGAACACATGTGGACCGCCAGGCGCCGCACTCTGCTGCTCCCCAGTCCAGATGCCCTTCCATGCCACCTCCCAGGCCCACTCCTATTTCTGTCAATTCCAGGTTCCCTCATTCAAGCAGTCGCCTACTAGGAACTGTCCTGTGGGGGACTATTGATAGAGGCCATGTGCTGTACATCCTCCCAAACCACAGGCATGGATGGGACACCCCTTCCTGCCACAGAGCAGCCCTCCGCCCTCGACTTCATGTTCCACTCATCGGGGTGTCCACCTGCCTCCCCCACTGTGCCGGAAGTTCCTGAGGGCAGTACAGTGGGTCCTGGTCCCCAAACGGGCTGCCCTGGTATAAGGGGCATTTCGGTTTGTGGCATGACTGAGTGGCTGTGACCCATCTTTTCCTCCAGTTACTTCCCGCCCAAGATTGCTGCAGCCTGGTCCCCCCCCC